CGATGGCCAAGAGTGCATAATCGTGTTCCCGCCAAATAGGGAGAGCAGAACCGCATAAAGTTACTTGCGATACGATATAAGGAACGATTAATTGCGATACGATATACGATAATAATAAATATATATATATATACTTTTAAAAAATCATAAAAATAAAAATAAAAATCATAAAATTAGCGTAAATTATAAAGAAACTCTGAAAAATATATATTAAAGATTAAAAAAAAAAACAAGCATGTGGCGCCATCTATTTAATAATTGTAGGATAAATTAGATATTGTCTAAATTTAAAAAAATTACAAAACATAATAACAGTAAATAATTACAATAATACAAATTGTATCATAAAAAATCATTAGAAATATAGTTACAAAGAAAATTAGCAGGGTATCCATGTTCAATACAGTGATTAAAAATTTTTTTTAAGATTTAAAAAATATTAGCTTTATCGCTAACTAATACTTTATTGCGATAAATATAGTTAAAAATAATATTTCTATATATAGATATTGATAAATTAGAATTCCAGTAAGGCACTTTGATGATATTAAAATTAAAGGCATCTCTTTTATCATAAATATTAGTATGTAGTTTCAAATCCTTAATATACAGAGATACATCTAGGTAATTTGTTTTGATTGGATTATTATTAATTTTAACTAAGTTCAAGTAGGACGGATACAAATTAATAATAGGATTTAAATTATCATTTTTACCAAAAATAATTAAATCATCAATATATCTAAAAATGTAGTAGTCATTATTAATAACATAACTATATTCATAAAAATGTAAATAAAGATTAGCCAAACTATTACTAGCTGGGCCCCCTTGTGGGAGTCCTTTCTCTTGTTTATATGAAGAACCATTAAAACTGATATAATTTTCTTTTAAGCAAAATCTATGAGAGTTTTAAATTTGTTAAAATTAATATTAAGGTTATACATACTGTGGTTTTCTAAAATTACTTTAATAATATCATATAAATCAATGGAATTGAAAAGATCTTCAAAGTCATAACTATGAACTGAATAAATATTTTTATCATTAAAAAAAAAATCTATAATCTCTTTACTATTTTTAATTATAGCTTTATTACATTGCTGATTAATAAAGTTTTGTATTATATTATGAAGTAATTTGCCTGCAGTAGTAATATATGTTCTAAAACCATTTGTCACAGTTCTAAATTTAACCGGACTTTTATGGAATTTTGGAGTTAAAAAAATATAAGGATACTTAATTTTAGGAATACAATAACCTAATTTTTTATAAATAGCAATAATATGATTACTAATTTCATTATTTGACAAATCTAATTTTTTTAAAAGAACCATTATTAAGAAAGTGATCATAAAGAATATTATAATAAAAATACTTACAAATCACAGCATAGTTACCTGGTACTTTATCAATGTAAACTATGATAAAATTCTTTTGTAAATTATAAATTTTCTGTTTGATATCTTTAAAAAGTAGTTTCATATTGAGAATGGTAGCTAAAATTCATAAGGTCTTTTAAAATATTGTACTTATACTCTTCAAATGCCTCAATAGGTAGTCCAAATTTAATTGCAGATTTTGTAATAAAATTATCTATATCTTTAAAAATTTGTTTTTAACAGTATTGTTGTTATTAGAAACATTTAATCTAAAATTAGTGCCTTTACTCATTATATCTTTTAAAATATTATCATTGATTATATCTAAGTTACCAGTAACTACATGTTTATGATGACCATCAATAAAATCATTATAGTTTTTACATATACAATCTTCTATATTAATAGAGGGCAAACTATTGTTGTAATTTAATATATATATATATATATATATATATATATATATATATATATATAAATACTTGATTATATATATACGACATTTTGAAAGTTTTTGCTGGGATTTTGTAATCATTAGGTTTTGTTGTTGTCGAAATTTTCTAAGTTTTAAACTTCAAAAATTACTCTAAACTGGACAAATGTTTTCTAAAACAGCCAAAATAAATCTAGTTTTATGTTTTTAAACATGAAATTTATGTATTTTTATGTATGTAACAAGCTTCTCGCAAAGGCAACAAACATCACATTTGATGCATCATCTCATACCTTTATCTCAGAAACTATTAAACATATAACTCAAGACTTTGACTATTTGTATTAATTATACATTTATATTTATACTGAAGTGAAATTTTTTAAATGTATTAATTAGTTTTTTCAAAAACAAACTTTTAGTTGAGCGAGCAAATATGATTACTATGAATTTATTGAAAATTGTCATTTTTTGTTATGATATCTGCTTAAGAATATTTCAAAAATGTCACTTCAGTATACACAATTGCATTTAAGAAACAGAGTACATTTATACAATTTTAAAAAAGGCATTTAGAAAACAATTTTTATAAAAAATCTTACCTTGTAAAAGTATTCTATGTTTTTTCATCACATATTATCTTCATTATCCATTATGCAGTTATAAAATGAATATTCATTACGTAAATATTTCTCACCTGGTCACAATTATATATCCTAATTTTTTTCTTTTAACACTACTAAAACACGTGAAGATTTAGTAATCATTAATTAACTAATTAAAAATGAATTAAACTAAAGAAAAGACCTAAATTTCAGTAAAAATGCCTACATTTTAAGTATAACATTTACTAAAACCTACATGAAAATCTGAAATTGCCTCCACAGGTTTTTAGCAAATCTAACACAGTTGCAGTTATACAATTATCTAAAGTTAATTTGGGTATTAAAAAATAAAAATTAATCGAGACTTAACTTTTCCCAAGTTTTAAAAAGGCAATGTTTACATTTCTATTTGTCAAAATGGGCGTGGTAAATCAGCTGATTATTTTTTTAAAAATCATTTTAAAATGCTTCTAATTCATATAATGGCTTGTATGTTATATAATTGGAAAGGTCTTGATTTGGAGATTTCAGAAATATCAAAAACTCAAAATCGATTTTTAAAAGGGGCTTACTCTACTGACTGCTCTTAAGCAAGCATTTCGGTTTCCCGAGATACACAGTGCTGGGCACATAAAAGCCTTTTCCAAGCTCTTCAAGAAATTATTTTTTATATTTTTCCTTCATACTAATTTCTTATATTTTATTTTAAAGCACTTGATTTTAATTCTGTTTCAATGGCCTAATTTTTTATAGTTCAAAATTCTTCTTTTAAATTTTAATATTTTAAATGCCGTACTAGTTGATTCTCTCAATTTTCTTCATAGACCAATTCTTATCTATAAAAATAAAACTAAATATTTTTCAAAAGAAATACGCAAATAATAATTTTATTACATTACTTTTAATTATGAATAGCAGTATCAATAGTATCACATGTATTTCAAAAATATTCAGACAAATTTTAAATGAAGAAAGTAAACATAAGTATAAATATTACAAATGTTTTCCCGTCGTTTTTCAGTACGAATTCTGAAATATATCAACTTTGTGTAATAATAGACATAATATATTTTATGCTATCCACTAATTATTGTAGCTTATATATTTAACTGCAACTTTGAAGCCCTATAATAAAAAGTAACACCTCATGCTTACAAAATTTTCTACAACTTAAAGAAGAATATGTAGACCATAACTAATAAACATTTTACTTTTCTAACTAACACACAAATTTTTAAAATTTTTTTATTTTAATTTTATTGAAAATGTATTATTTTTAATTCATTTATTCTGGTCTTTTTAGGAGCATTTTAAAAAATCGTAAATAAGGAAAGGGAAGAAAAATTTGTTGTTCCCACACAGCATAAGAACTTCGAAAGAAGTATTTTTAAATAGAAACCTGTTGTTCTTAAACGTCGCCCAAATGATAAGGAATGCAGCCACAATTAGCGAAAAAGGCCATCACAATTATGGACGATAGATGAAATTGTAAAAAGGGTCAGGGAAAGTTGTTAAAGGGTCTGTAGGAAAAAAGAGGGACAAAACTGTTTTTATCTAGCTTGGTATAGAGGTCGTATCAAGCCGAATTAAGCGACAAAATATTTCTGGTACAGAATTTGTACCAGCCGATTTATAAAGATTAAAAGAAAATAGAAATTATATGATGATAAAAACATTAATTCTATGTATATAAATATAACAAGCTTCTTTTGAGGCAGACGGATTTTTTTTAAATGAGGCTAACAAATTTTAAAATTTCTGTTGAATAGTTTGTTTTCATACGTTTATAATTTAGATTCCTTGCATGCAATTTCAAAAAAATTGTTCAAAAATTCCATCCCAATTTATATTATGCTCTATCGAATTGCGCACAAAGTGTTTCAATATTCTGGAAGGATGACAAGTGGCTTCTGAAAACAATTAATATCCCGTTACGGGCACAGAAACTGGATTAGTAGGAAGGTTATTTATAAAATATGACACAGATGATGACGATCCAATGTATAAAATTCCTCACGACGTTCACATTTCTCCAAGTTGAGGATTATGAGACGCGCTCTCTAATACGCTACCGAGGCTCGGTGAATGTAGGGAATTTTATATATTGGAACGCAAAATTTGTGTCATATTTTTTAAATAAACTTCTTACAAATTCGGTTTTTGAATACGTAACGGGACATTGAATGCTTTCAAAAGCCACTACATGCGTTATCATCATTCGTGAATATTGAAACACTTTGTGCGCAATTCCCTAGAAAATAATATAAATTAGGACGGAATTTTTGAAATATGCTTGAAAAGAAGCTAAATTTTAAAAGCATGAAAACAAACAATTCAACAGAAATTTTAGAATTTGTTTAGCTCATTTAAAAAAAACCATTGGCATAAAAAAACTTTTTTTATTTTATGTACATTGAATTCATGTCTTAATCATAAAAAAGTTTTATCTTCTTTTTAATATATATATATATATATATATATATATATATATATATATATTCTGTCTCTTCAAACTCTTACTAGTTTTGAATTCCAGATATACGTTGTGACAGGTGTTAATACGATCTGTTGCAAAATGAAAGGTTAAACCGAGATTTTTCAACTCGGATCGCAGGATTCAGAATCCAGAGTGCTAACCATTACACTGATGAAACGAAATTTTCCATGCCGGTAATCCTAACCACAAGACCTCATGGGACTCCCTAAAAGTACATCCAGTAATTACTAAAAATACAACGTCTGTACTTCTATATAATTTTAGCTTCAACATTTGTATTGTTAGGAAAAACGTTAGATTTCTTGTTCTGAATCCATGTTGAACAAAAGAAATATTTTACACAATCTTTCTCGAAATGTAAACAATTTTGAATTTTAAAGAGATAATACACTCAATTGTATCGAATTGAAAGTGAAATGAAAATTTCGAGATTATAAGCAGTTATGAAATACTAAA